TGCTGATCTGCCAACCTTCCCACGGCCATCCTGCTATACTGCAACCCAGCTCCTGCCCTCCTGCTGTAACATCACCCTCCCTCCAGCCTTCCTACTATGCCACCAAGCTTCCCACAACCCATCTCCCAACTTCTTATTGTACCACAATACCACCCTACACCCATCCACCAAACCACCGCCTATCCCAATCCCTTTTCACCACTAGTCACGACTTGTTCTACCCAGTCAAAGCGGGATATTGGTGTTCTGTTGTGTTTTATATTTTGTTTTGAGTCTTGATTGTAACCCTGTAGGTTTTGAGTAATAAAATATGATTTCCCTATTGTGGTTTGGATTATCTATTATATCATTTGGTATCAGAGTTAGCATAATCCTAATCTTATCCTAGGGTTACTAGCATCTGCCACACCCAAACCTATCTCCACCTAAATTTTTCTTTCTCACCCTACGCTTCCCTTGCAGTCCCTTCCACCTACTCACATCCAAAACATAGCCATGCTGCCAAGAGACAATCGTCAGAACTCTAATCGAGGTGAAATGACAGGATGCCGTCTATGATAAATTCACAAAAAAGTATCTGAAAGATTTCTACGGAGAATACAGCAAACTAGAACTGAGGCTTATCACCTTCGTGAGGAGTCAATCTGGATGGGTCACCGATAGCCACAACAACATCATGTGGCTATGGTAGCACAACATTACTCATTAGCTTCGCAAATTTTCTCCCATGCTTATGGAACAATTGCTTCATACATTTTCATCAAATCTATTTGGTTGGTATTCATTGATGGACTCTTCCATTACTCTGTAGAAAACGAAATCTTTTTCCATTATTGGCCAAGCATAGCACTGCATTTGCTTGTGAAATCATGTGAGTTTAAAATTGCAGAAAAAATTCGAATTCATTTTATCCCAATCTTTGATTCTTAAATGTGATAATTATGCAACCAGATATTACTAGTAATATTAACTTTCATGCATGAAGCAAACCTGCAGAAGTGGATATTACACCATCAGAGATGTCAATTCGATCAAAAAGAATAGTTACACCATATAGTTCAAAAACAAAAAAGTTACATAACTTTACCAAGGCTATTCTCCAGCATGTGGAAGAGTGCTATCACAAAAAATAATATTGTTGCGTCATCAACAAATTTTTATATAGCATGAATCTCGATGCATTATTGAACAAAAACTATTCTAAATTCAAATATTACACCATCGGAGATGTCAATTCGATCAAAAAGAATAGTTACACCATAAAGGAAATGATCTATGATACTATTCGCCGATTCTTGGTGGGATCGTTGCCCCCGACACTCTTAAGTTGTCAGTAGTTCTAGCACGATTAAAGTGACTAATCTGCGGACTGTACCACTTTACAAAATATTTAAAAAAATAAAATAAAATAAAAATTTCTTTTGCATGTTAAAAAATTCAGCCGTTGAAGCACAATTGGAGAATTTCGATCATCAATTGAATAGTCAAATGAACTCCAAATTTGACATATTTATAGTCGAATCGAGCTTGTACAAGAGAGGAATTCAATGAGTCTAAGATCGCTCAATTTTGAGGTCATAACGACACCAAAATTCTTACCAAAACAAATATGATCAAGGAAGGTCGACATGGACCGTTCGATCAAGTGGTAAGTGAAGTTATGTGCCAAAAAAACTAAAATGCCCTCCGCAAAGCACTGTAATTAGGCTCTCTCTCTTCACTTGAGGGGGAAGAAGAAAAAAAGGAAAAACTTAAAGTCTAAAGCCTGTTCTAAAGAGAAGAACTGACGAATAATCACCAGCTATAGACCACAAACCTCTGTAGCCACAAGCCACCGC